CTATGAGTCAGAACTGACTCCACGGCACACTACCACCACCACCATTCTGATCAGAGGCGTCCTGGGTGTGGTGCTGTGGGTTAATGCTCCAGACTGCAAAGCCATTTGAACTGCAAGGTCAGCTGTTCAAGCTCACCAGCTGCTCCTCAGAAACCCTATACAGGGTCATTATAGATCAGAACCAACGCAACGATACTTAACAACAACATTCTGCTCAGAAAGCAGTTCTGTTAAAAAGAGAAACAAGATAATGCGAATGTTACAGAAAGTAGTTTGGTTAACTTTTGGTCACCCTGCTCTCTGAGTTAGTTTTGATCTCAATTGTAGCAAGTGTAGTTTATATAAGACTGTTGGACAAAGTGTGACAACATTGTTTTGAATTTAATTCTAAGAAGTTTTTAACCTGATGATTCTTTCTCAACATATTTTGATAAGAAAGGCATCAATAAGGTCTCTCAAACCTTTGCACTCTTCTTCAAACCTATATCCACCTGTTTGTTCTCATTCTTTTCTGTTCACGTTCACCCTGACCTCTGCCTTTTCTGAAATCCTGAACCACTCTGTACACTACAGTGAGTGGTGGTGTACTGTGGAGTCGATTCCAACTCACAACGACCCTGCATAGGATCTCCAAGGCTGTAAATCTTTATGGGAGCAGAAAGCCTCATCTTTCTCCTGCAGAATCGCTGGTAGTTTTGAATTGCTGAACTTGTGATTCGCAGCCGATTCGTAACCACTATGCTACCAGAGCTCCTTGTACCGTAGAGTGGAGCACTTAATTTTTTTTTTTAAACTATGGTGTAATTAGTATAGGGAACATTTTTTTGTTGCTGAAACTGTTTTTTAAAGGTAATTTTTTTTTTCATAGGAGCTGATAATATTCGCAAATACTGGAGCCGCTACTACCAAGGATCTCAAGGGGTTATATTTGTATTAGACAGTGCCTCTTCAGAAGATGATTTAGAAACTGCTAGAAACGAACTGCACTCAGCTCTTCAGCATCCACAGTTATGCACTTTACCCTTTTCAATATTGGCCAATCATCAAGACAAGCCAGCTGCTCGTTCAGTACAAGAGGTAGGTCTCATCAACATGACATAGCATTTTACCTGTGTGAGGGGGTGCTTTTGCTTCCACATTGGAATCTGGCAAGATTTATATAATTAGAGAAATCCCTATTAATGCTGTTTTCAATATGATAACCTTAGTTTTTTTAGAAATCAGAAAGCCTGATTTCTGGTAGACATTCGTCTTTTCATACATAACTGTTCCACCGCTACCCACCTCCGCCATGTAGGTCTTCTATTGGTTTGGGATCTTTTAACCGTTCAACAAAAGTTAAGAGGACATACCACGATACTCTTCTCATCTATTTTGAAGAGCCACAGATCTGGTTCTTTAATATACTTTTTTAGACCACTGACTTCTTTAATTCATTCTCCAGCTTTTTATGGAAATGTATGAAATTATAGCCTCTAAGTAGAATAAAATTAAAACTTTTGAGGCATTTCTTTATATCTGTACCTTTCAGGATGTGTCGTCCCATAGTCTTTCAAAAAAGCATGTCGTTCCTCAAGTGACTTTGGAATAAAATGATTAATAGGAAAGGTAGCTTTTTAGTCTCACAAATGGAAGTGGAGCCAAGAAATAGCATGTTATAACTCCAAACCTCCCCCACACTTAGAGTGTGTGTGACCCATGGGCAAGTAAATAACTTTGTTCCTGTGTCTAGCTGCTCACCTGTGAAATGAGAATAATGCCATTTATTATAAGTGAGTGGGATTAATTTGGATAATTTACTTTGAAGTTCAACGTACTACAAAGAAGAGGTACCATATGTAGGTTTTATTTCAGATTTGGAAAAATAGTGAAGGCAAGGATCTCTTCTTAAGCAAAACAAACTAATGCCTCTCTTTAGTTGCCTAATTCCACAAGTACTCAGTACTTGTTTCCTTTATAGATTTTGGAAATTCCTTATAGATTATACCAAGTAATTAAGACAGAAATAGCAATAAAAATCCATTCAGAGAAGCATTAATGTACAGATAGATATTCAACAATGCAATTATGATGCCTACTGACCTGTTCTTAAGACCTTAGGCAAATTTTTTAACTTCTCAGCAGTAGTTTTTATGTCTGCAGAATGGAAATGGATATAATAATATGTAATCAGAGGTAATTACAGGTGTTTAATTTATGATTATATAGTGCTTTTCTGGAAAGGCATTGTTATTGATAATACATGTAATATATATTAAAATATACAAGCAGTATAACATGTGCATATATGTTATGATATATAATAGATAATGGAGCATGTCCTGGTGTGGATATGTAGGATAAACACTGGACTGCTAACCATAAAAATGAGGCTTTTGCTCTTATGAAGATTTACAACCTTAGAAACCTATGTAGGGTCTCTCCGAGTTGGAACCAATGTGACGGCACCTAACATAGAAGATACACCACAATTTATATAACTTCAAATTAGTTTATTCAAGCCATGTAATACATGAAAGAGGTGTTTTTTGTTGTTTGTTTTTTAATTTAAGAAAATGCTTGTCTGGTTTTCTTGGAAATTAGATAGTGCAGACTAGTGTGTTCTTTAAACCCAGTATATGAGTCATGATATCCCTGAGTAGAAATTAGAGAGTCACACTGAATAAAGAAGCTTTAAACTATTTATTAATTGATTTTGAATATGCCAAGTGTGGTGGTTGGCTGTCTCTCATAAGAAAATGGAAATATCTTTTTTTTTAATAGACTTGGTGTTTTAGAGGAGATTTAAGTTTACAGAAATATTGTGGAAAAAGTACAGAAAATTCCCTTGTCTCCCCTCGCACCTCATTTCTCCTATCAGCGTCTCCCTCCTAGATCCTCCCCTCCCCCCGCACCGACTTTGTAATAATGATGCTGGATGTTGTCTTTTAGTATGGCAGAGGCTGTAAATGTATAGCATTCACAGATATGTTCCACAAATGATTCTAAACTTTTATGTACTGAAGCATGCATGACGTCGGTCTTCTTTTCATTTATATGAATTTAAAGCAAACTTCCTCAACTTTTTGCTTGCAATGGAATTTCCAGATAATCAGTTTGAGGACTGTTTAAATAAAGCATTTTTTCCTATTATTATCGAAACGTCATACAGGTACATTTTAGATTGGTTTAATGACAAGTATGAACACATTTTAATATAAAGATAAAGTCTCCTAGAAGTTTCTGGAAACATCAATGAAGCGTACACACCTACTTTAGGTTTAACACAAACAGAAATGGAAGTTTCCCGTTTTTCCCATTGATTGATGACGAAAGGTTTCTCTGTACATTGTCTAATGATGTCTTATTGAAATACTTTAAGAACTAAGTCTATACATTATTAGTAGCATAAAAATAGAGATGTGAAAATGAATCTTAATTTTTTTGGATAAGGAATAACCTCAAAGTGGTTGGGAACAGGCTTAGGTAGACGAGGAAGTCGTGGTGATGGTGGTTTTGCACTAAGGAGTAGCTTCCAACTCATAGTGACCCTGCAAAGATTCAAAGGCTATAAGTTTTTATGGAAGCAGAAAGCCTCATCTTTCTCCTGCAGAATAGCTGGTAGTTTTGAACTGCTAACCTTAGGGTTTGCAGCCCAACTCATAACCATTATGCTACCCAAACAAGCTCTTTAGAGGAGGAAGTAGAAGACTGAGAAGTGAGCAAAGTCACATGTTCCTTGAAACAGGTTTAAAAGTGATATTCATTTTATTCTCTTTCTTTTCTTAAGTGCTGAATGCCCCTGTATCCTACTGCTTATAAACATGCTTATTCATTCACATCTGATAATATGTGTGCTTTCTGTGAAATTTCTAAATGTTAAAAAGATTGATTTTCTGTAAACTACCTGTGAAATATAGGCAAAATTATTTTCTTTCAGAATCAAGGGAAGTACATTTAATTTACCAAAATTTATGAAGCCACTACGAAAAGAGGAGTCACCAAGGCTGTTGATTCTTCCTCTCCTAGAATGAAATGATTCTATCATCTGCTATACTGTGTTATACAAAGATTGTGCTCTTGTTAAACTTGTCACTGGAGTCAAATTTTAGGGATTCACTTGTCATTTATGACGATACCAAGGTATTGTTGGTTTTGTTGATTTTAGAAGCTGGTAAAATCCAGAGGAAAAAGCTGAATTATCACCAGGATTCTAAAAGAGGATAAAAATGATCAGGAAATTGTATATTTAGTCCTTCCTATAAAGTAAGGATTTTGATGTTTGTGTAGAGCATTGAACTAGGAAAGGGAGACAGTGATTAAAATTGCAATGTAACCCACAGACAGAGGGCAATATGCCCAATTATTTTGTGGCCCTTTTAGAATGCAAGTGGAGTCTTGTCCATTGCATAGTTTCCCTTTCTGTACTCTACCTGGTAATGACCTATGCTTAACAGAATTTTTTAAGATTATACTTTTTGAGAATTGATGGTAGAAACTTTTTTTTTTTTGTAATCAGATGAGCATTAAATAAAAATAAAATAGCAATACACTGGGAAAAAGAGCACCCTTTACATACTTTCTGAAAGCCAAGCAATTCTTGCAACAGATGTTTGTTGTATTCACTTCGGGGAGGTGTAGTTACTACAGTTTTCCAAAATTTACTCAAATCCAGGTTTTATTTTGAGATACTGCTAAAATTTATAATTATGTTAGGTGACCTGCTTGATTTCCCAGGGAAAATTGTGGTCTGATTTAAATGATAAAGCTGTAAAATGAGAAGTGATGGATTTTTATTTGTATCGAATTGTAATGATATCTAATTTGTTTTCCAACTCCCGTAGGAAAGCATACTTCAGTTCTGCAGTTATTTAATAGATCCGGAGGATTTTATGAGAATTTAAGTTGATAGACAATAAATGTAATCCTATTATCCCTCCACACAGTTGTTGGTTGTGACTAGTTTACCTCCTAGCTTTTTAAAAATCATATATTTGTTTTATTGAGTGAGTATTGCCGTGTCTTATAAAATGACACACTATGTTAACATGAAAAAGATAGTCCATCTTTTCAACAGTCTCATTCGATTTAATGTTTGTTTGCATTCTCAATCCAAAGGTATTTAGCTTTTTCAGAAAACAGTACACCAAAATACTGTGTTGACTACTCACTGGAAATTTTTTATCAAAGTCAGTTTTGAGAAATCTGAAAACTATACAGCATAGGTTTTTTAAGGAGAATTACAAGGTTGGAAGTGTTGGTGCAATAGCTGTCTTTCTAAAAGCACAGGAAAATCTAGCATCTAAATTAGCATGACAACATGAAAGTTAAACTTGGTGATCAGACCATTTCTGAATTTTCATGCAATTGTAATTCAATTTGTTATTTTGATGTGCAAGGAACTTGGTGTTATATTAGAAAAGAATAGAACATAAATGTGAGAAGATGATTTGCAAGTATTTTATGATGATATGAACATTACTGACTTTTAAAAACCATGTTTTGTTTTGAGTTATAAATATTCAGATTTTTATTTTGAGCAGTATATTCAATATTCAGTGTGTCATGAATAGTTTATCAAGTTCTCACTTTTTAGTCTATAGACATTTTCTGGCAATAGGTGCTATTATGTGTTTTTATGACATTTAACTGTGATATTTAATTATATCTACTTCTTGTTTGTAGATCGTTATTTCTACATTGTGCTCCTTTCTTTTATTCCTCCAAAGATTCAGAGAGAGTTTTAAAAGATCAAAACTTCCGACAGTGCTTCCCTGTTAAAAAAATAAAAAATAAAAATCCTCTAAAATTGTATATTATTTATACTACTAGCGAGTATTCTAGTTCTTGCTTGCTTTCTTTTTTGGTAACTCGGTATTGAATATCTTATTTTACATGACATATCTTTTATTAGAGGATGCAAATCAGTGTTTAAATTGCTTAAAACTTTTAGATGAATTGAATATTACTTCCTGTATGATGGAGAGAAACATGTGTTTGTAAAATAACCACTGGAAAGTATAGTACGCTTTAAATCTTAAGACTCTTCTAAGTCTCTTGACCTGCTTCTTGGCAGCATCTTAGAATACTGATTTGAT